GCTCAGTGGCAGCGGCAGGAGTCGCGGGGTCGGGAGGCCGGTCATGGGGGCAGGGTCTGGGGTCGCGGGGTATATAGCCGAGGGGTCAGTTATGGGGTTAGAGGACCAGGTGTGGGGTCACAGGGTCTAGGGGGTACTTATGGGGTCACAGTATTAGGTGTGGGGTCACAAGGACCGGGGCTGAGAGGTCAGTGGCAGGGCGTGGGGTTGCAGGGTCTAGGGCCAAGGGGTCAGTTATGGGGTCACGGGGTCAGTGGCAGGGTCTGGGGTCACAGGATTTGGGGCCAAGGGGTCAGTGGCAGGGCGTGGGGTGACAAAGACCGGGGCTCAGAGGTCAGTGGCAGGGTCTGGGGTCACAGGATCTAGGGCCAAGAGGTCAGTTATGGGGTCACGGGGTCAGCGGCAGGGTCTAGGGTCACAAGGACCAGGGCTAAGAGGTCAGTGGCAGGGCATGGGGTCACAGGGTCTAGGGCCAAGAGGTCAGTTACAGGGTCACAGGGTCAGTGGCAGGGTCTGGGGTCACAGTATGAGGTCTGCTGTCACAAGGACCGGGGCTGAGAGGTCAGTGGCAGGGCATGGGGTCGCAGGGTCTAGGGCCAAGGGGTCAGTTATGGGGTCACGGGGTCAGTGGCAGGGTCTGGGGTCACAGTATGAGGTCTGCTGTCACAAGGACCGGGGCTGAGAGGTCAGTGGCAGGGCATGGGGTCGCAGGGTCTAGGGCCAAGGGGTCAGTTATGGGGTCACGGGGTCAGTGGCAGGGTCTGGGGTCACAGGATCTGGGACCAAGGAGTCAGTGGCAGGGTCTGGGGTCACAGAGACCGGGGCTGAGAGGTCAGTGGCAGGGCGTGGGGTCACAGGGTCTAGGGCCAAGGGGTCAGTTATAGGACCAAGGGGTCAGTGGCAGGGTCTGGAGTCACAGTATTAGGTGTGGTGTCACAAAGACTGGGGCTGAGAGGTCAGTGGCAGGGTCTGAGGTCACAGGGTCTGGGTCCAAGGGGTCAGTGGCAGGGCATAGGGTCACAGGGTCTAGGGCCAAGGGGTCAGTTATGGGGTCACGGGGTCAGTGGCAGGGTCTGAGGTCACGGTCTGGGGCCAAGGGGTCAGTGGCAGGACGAGGGGTCACAGGGTCCAGGGCCAAGGGATCAGTTATGGGGTCACGGGGTCAGTGGCAGGGCCGGGGGCCCCCTCCCTGCCTGCTCTGCTGCCCTGCCCTGCCCTGCCCGCCCCGTCCCCGGGCTAGCACAAGGGCCGCCTGTGCCAGCGTTGGCCCCCGTGCTGCATGGTGATCACCCCGGTAGCAGGAGGCCCAGCTGTGCCCTGACTAGCGTGAGCAATTTAATCCAGCGTGGTGACTTGCGCGCTCCTCCATCTGCTGTGCCCACGTGTAATATTTTCCAGGAGAGACCAATCCCATCCTGTCAGGCTCCCTCTGTGCCAGCCACTCTTCGTCATGGAGCTGACTGCGGTCCAGCTCGGGAGGGAGGGGTGGAGCCGCGATCTCACGATGCTGCAGCAAGGCAGAGTTGGGTACCAGCCACGTCGTGCTGGCGCATCGGCCCCGCTGGCTCAGGGACACATGGAGGAGAAGCCAGAGCCATGTCCATGTTCCCACAGTGGTAGCCGGGACTGGTGCGGCAGCACCGAGGCACCGAGGGTCCCTTCGGGGTCTGCAGGGCGGCGGGAGAGCTGCAGGGGTGCCGCGGGTCTGCACGCAGGAGGGGAGAGGCGCGCGTGCACACAACGTCCTGGGGAGGTGGAGCTGCCTCGTGCGTGCCGAGCTGAGGGGCTGGCGCTGCGTGCCGCGTGGGCCTCACTGTGCAGCTGATGTTTCCCGTTGGTGCGGACATCGCAGGCCGTGGGGGGCATGTTCAGATGTGCGTAGTCCCCCTCCCCCATTCCCGGGACCCCCTGGGGCTGTGCGCGACACTCGAAGCTCGTGAGGAATGCACAGCTCCCCCCAACTAACAGAAAACACAGCCCGGCCGCCAGGCCTCAGCCTCTCCCACCCCGCCCCAGGCAGGGGGGCTGTAATGAAAAGCACTTGCTGCACAGCTATCTATAGTGCTTTGTTTGTGCGAACGGGGAAGGGGCAGGCGTGGCCCTGCCTGACCTCACTCTTGACGTCAAAGGACCCCAAATGAGTAATAGGGAGAGCTCCACGGCCAGCGGCCAGGCGGGGCCCTGCCATGCACAGGCACGGCCACGCAGGTGCTGGAGTGACGGGCAGAGCGGGAAGGGCCGGGTCCAGGGGTGGGGAGGGTGCGACTGCACCCACGGGACCCAGATGGGAGCATGGAAGTAGACTGAGCCCGAGGAGCATTGCCAGAGGAGCACCGCCGTGGCCAGGGGCTGTGCTTGGCAGTGGGAATCCAGCACTCCCAGGCAGCAGTGGCCTCCCATCCCTTCCACGGGGCTGTGCTTGGGAGCAGCCTCGCCTGGACCAGAGCAGCCGTGTGTTCGCCCAGCACACGAGCACTGTTTCTGGGGGGGCTTTCGTGTGCTGGATTTCCACCCTCCAGTCTGCCTGTGGCTCTCCTGCCCCTGCGGTGTGGGAGGTGGCAGGTTTGTTCCCGTGTCCACACCAGGCGCTCCGGCAGAACGTGGCAGAGGCAGTGCCACAACTGACGGGCATGGTTAATCTCCAGCACGGTTCTTGGAGTAGAAGACAGCCCTGACACTTGTGTTTGTGCTTCAGTAGCACGGAAAAGGTCCTCTGAGGGATCTGCTTGCACCCAAGGCAAGGATGGGACCTGCCCCATAACTCCCAATTAGAGCCGATCCAAGAGAGAAAGAAAAAGGACTGCGTGACTGCTGTGACGAGCCACAGTTACAGCAGCCAGCGGCCTAGTCATTGTCGACTGTCTTGTGTGCGTCGTGACTAAGTGTTTCTGAGATGCTGGGAGGATAATATGGCTTTGTGGCTGTGCTGGGAGCTCCCTCCGTGCGTGAGGGTGACATGGTAGAAAGCTCAGGGGGAAATTTGATAAGCGAGCCATCAAGGCAGCATTGTTGGCAGGGCAGAGGCAGGGACTCATGGCTCAGTGCCATGCGCAAAGCTAGGAAGTGCACGGAGCAGTTGTGAGGAATTCAAAGCCAAATGGTGGGCTTGTGCATTTTGGGGAGTGGCTCTAGGCTTTTTGTATTTTGGGGAATGCACCCTAGGCAGCAGAGAGGCCAAGCTGGGACCAGGATGTGGGCAGAAGTCATCCAAGGGGTCCACAAAGCCACTGCGATCTTGCCTTCTTGCGGCGTGCGTTCTGCAACACTGCACAGTCTTGCATCCGATCACACAGGCCTGGAGCTGCCTGGCTTGTTTTTTCTGTTTGCTATCCTCTAGCCACAGCGTGCCAACCCGAACCAACAGCGGGACTGAAGATTGGTGCTGCCAGAGTTCCTGTCTCACATGTCAGGTCTTCCCTGATTTTGTCCCAGGAAACAAGGTCAGGTTTGCTGCCATTTATTCACGCCTGTAGAAGAATGAGTAGTGAGTAGGCAGGTTTCTCTGCCACGATGAAATGCAGAGAGGGCAGAGACGGCTGAGCTCTTTCGGGTGTGTGGGGTGTTGGAGCAGCATCAGGGCAGGCTGCTCCAAGGGGAATCCCAGGGGACCTGCTGGACATTTGACTGCTGTAGGCCATAGGACTTCGGTGTTACCTTCTGGACTGGCCTCAGAAGGGCAGGAGCATCGACGTCCTCCGAGCAATGTGCCAGCCGTTATCATGGAATCATAGAAAATGAGGGCTGAAGGGACCTCAGGAGATCACAGCTAGTCCAACCCCTGCTCAAAGTAGGACCAGCCCCAACTACATTGTCCAGCCGAGGCTTTGTTGAGCTGGGCCTTAAACACCTGCAAAGATGGAGCTTCCACCACCTCTCTAGATAACCTTTTCCACTGCTTCACCACCCTCCCAGTGAGAAAGTTTATCCATATATGTAACCAAAATTTCCCTTGCTGCAACTTGAACCCATTACTCCTTGTCCTGCCATCTGCCCCCACTGAGAACAGTCCAGCTCCATCCTCTTTGCAACCACCCTGCGGGGAGGTGAAGGCTGCTATCAAATCCGCTTCATATGTGCCTTTCTTCAGCACAGAGCCATACCCTGCGCCGGTGTGACTGCAGCTTGCTCCACCCTCCCTGGGACCTCCTGAGCACATCAGGGCACCTCGCTTCTTGCTCCCCAGTAACGTGGCCCGATCCATATTGAATGAAAGCTTCAAGCGTGACCTTGAGTCATCGTAGACCCGTGATTCTCCAGCAGGTGCTGCAGCACCCTGAGGTGCCGTGAGCGTGGTCGGAAGCTGTCACGGATGCTGCATAGCGTTGGCACTGTGAGGTGTGCAAACACCTACGTGTGTTCACAAGATAAGCAAGGGAATTTCAAACAGGAATCCAAAGTGTCACAAGCGTTCTGACCGCTGCGGCTTTCCGAAGTTCTTCACAGCAAAAGGATTGCTCCCGTGTTTTTCCTGCAGTCGAAAATCAAGTGAAAGCCGAGAGCTGGCAATTTTCCGAGAGGACCTTGAGTTTAGAAACGTTGAGAGCCACTGATTTAGGACATCTCCCTCGCCAACCCACTCCCTTGCTGTTCTGAGGTCCTTGCCTTGAAACCCACAAGGGTGGCTCCAAAAATAGGAGAAGCGTGAGATCGCAGAGGCAGCTTTGAAGAGCCTGTTTCAACCCTGCAGTGGGACAGCACTGGAGGTGAAGATGACGAACTGCCTACGCACTCCTGCCGCGAATGACGGTCCAGCCTTCAGCACTCTCACGCCTCTTGCTCACACATTCAGATCATCACTCTCAGCATTTCTTCAGATATTCCTGGACCTTTTCTCAAGCAAAAAGCTAAGGTTCATTTGATTTGCCCTGGTCAGGTAAAGATAACTTGTGACAAAAAGGTTGTTTTTGATTCCATGAATAGTACACTTGCTTGAGTTAAATATTAAGAGTTTGCAGAAGAAGTTGTCCAAAGTGTATGCAGATCAGACCTATTTCCCCTATTTCATCAGTGTACTCATACGTGCTGTGCCAATGGCATTCATGAAAACAATAGCCAAATACATCAGAAATTAAAAAGATCAGAACCAAGACCATGCCTTGAGGATCATATTGCTGGTGTTTCCCTCCAAGCCAATAGTTTCCTTTTCCGAACAATCCATCATCATCTCCATTTTAGCCAGTTCTTTATTCATTTTACAGTTCTGATGCTAATCCCCATTGTCTCCAGCTTAGCTAATAATATCCTATGTGGCAAAATATGGACCCCCCAACATAGATTACATTACCTGAATTTCCCTTGTCTGTGAGCTTAGAATCATAGAAAAATAGGGCTGGATGGGATCTCAGCGTGTCATTGAGTCCGGCCCCCTGCTCAAGGCAGGATCTTCCTTGCCAAAACCATCCTGACAAGTGTCTGTCTTGGGCTGCTGTTGAAAGCTTGGAAGGATGGAGATCACACCGATTCTCTGGGTAGCATGTGCCAATGCTTAATTGTCTTTATAGTAAGAAAGGTCTTCCTTGTGTCCGACCTAAAACTTCCTCGCTGCAATTTAAGACCCTTGCTTCCTGCTCTTGCTTCTGTGGCCACAGAGAATAGTTGGTCGCCGTTCTCTTCATAACCACCCTTCAGATATTTGAAGATTATTATCAAATTCCAACTCGGTCTTCTCTTCTTCAAAGTAACTCATCCCAGTTCTTCCAACCCTTCCTTTTAAGTCATGTTTCCCAGACTTTGAATCATTTGTGTTGCTCTCCGTTGGACTCTTTCCAATTTAGCTATGTCCTTCTTGAAGTGCAATGCCCAGAACTGACACAGGACTCCAGGCAAGGGCTTACCAGTGCTGAATTGTGTAGAAGAATCAATTCCCTTGACTTGCGGCCAATGTTCCCATTACTACAGCCCAGGCTGCTGTTGCCTTTTCTGCAACAAAAGCACATGGTTGACTCATGCTTAGCTTACAGTTCACTATAACCCCCCGGTCTTTGTCTGCAGTACCGCAGCCTAGCCAGTCCTCCCTCAGTTTGTATTTGTGCATGACATCATTCCAACCCAAGTGCAGGACTTTGCACTTCATTAATATCATCCAGCGAATTTCGGATCATTTCTCCAGTTAATCAAGATCATTCTGCGTTCTAGCCCCACCTGCGGAGTGTCTGCAGCTCCACCCGGGTTCGGGTCATGTGCAAGTTTAATAACTGCACTCAATCCCATCCTCCAAGTCATCCGTGAAGATGCTGAACTGTACAAGACCCGGGAGGAACACCACTCAGTACTTCCTTCCAGTCAGACTCTGAGCCATCGAGAACTACTCATTTAATGAATTGAGTTTGAAGTCTCACAGAATTCACATCAGTCTGCTGAAGGACCTGGCCTACGAGACATGGGCACCACTGTCAATGATGTTTGCAGTTGTACATGGCCGGTGGGTCCCAGAGGCTTAGAGATGTGCTAACGGCACCCTTTATTTAATAAAAGGAGAAAGCACAGGCTTGGAGAACGGTAACCCAGGCCCCCTGATCTGAGCACCGCGGGACTTACCAGGGTAACTTAGAACATATTCACTTTGCAAATTGTTCTTGCTGCTTCCAAGGGCTTGTCAGGTCCCACCGAAACACAGTTCAAATAGGCACACAGCTGCCATCTAATGAGCATAAGCAATGTGCAGCCATGTCCATGTTCCCAGCCAGGTGACCAGACTGGGGTCATGCCAGTAGGGTGACCACCCATCCCTAATTGGGCAGGACAGTCCCAGAATGGGAACCTGGAGTCCTGGTCCCAGGCTGCATGACTGCAGGATAGCATTTGTCCCAGATTTGCAGTGTTGTTCAGGGATCTGTGGGGAACCAGTGGGTTTCCCCCTTGCAGGTGGGCAGCGTTGCAGCCTGCAAGGGGTTGCC